ACCATGGCTGGCTGGGGAATTCTGGGAGTTGAAGTCCACTCATGGCCAAGTTTGGACAACAATGTCGTATTTGATTAGACTTATGCCCAGGAGAGTGAATATACCATTATAACTTAACCATACAGTCACATCTATATTTTCTCAGACAAAGGTTCTACTTGAATTATCAAGTTTTACTCCCAGATAATTGTGTATAAAACTGCAACTTAATTGCATACCACTACATTCCTGATCTGATTTTCTATAGTAATTAAAATAAACAACAGAGTAAAGTGGCAAAAACTCCAGCATGCTGTGTTTAGACAAGGCAATATTCTTAACATGAAATGTAGTGATCAGTTCTATTGAGAATTTAAAAAGAAACATGCTTGTTTCACAGATATCAAAGCACAGGCATACAAATAAAATAATTTATAAACACACTGGGTTTAAACAAATGCTTTCAAATCTCATTGGATTCAGTGTGGGAGGTGGGGAAAGAATTATAATTGCTTACAGCTGTACATTCTAGCAACAAGCCTTTTGTAGAAGCCCACTTGTCTTACATTTGTCATATGATCCTGTGGAGGATCAGGTGAGTAGGGAAGACATTGATCTGATTTGCACATTGCACTGAACCATTTTTTAATAGACTACAGTTGGTTGGGTTCACACAACATGCTAAGCCAAAATTAAGCAATCACATTTTGAAGCCATATTTACTAATGCTGAAAACTGATACTTATTCTGGAATAAATCCAATTCTGTAGAATTACCCAGTGAACTAGGGATTTTTAAACTAGGAATGCATTATAAAGGCATACTGAAAACAATAGTTAGAATGATATTTTATTTCTGTATCACTCTTCCTCCTAGATGAGTCCAGAGCAGTTTCATAAACAATAAACACAATTTGCAATAAAATAATTAAAAAATTGATAAAAACAATAGATGGAAATAGTTAAATGGCTATTTTTTTTAAAGGATTCTAAAAGCTGGTATACCAGGAGCAGCATACATATGCCTGGGTGAACAACCATTATCTTCAGTTATCATCAAAAATAAGACCTGGGCTAACTATACTTTCCATAATAAGAGTCTTTCTTCTGAGAAGACTTCCTGGCCAAACCCAAATGAGACCACAAGCAGAACCTTCCTTACTGATCTTAGTGCATGGCCTGGCAATCTTGTAAGCCTCTGATTCCTGAGCTGCTAGAATTTTATATGTTAATTGAAAAACTTGTGTTGGTCCAAGAGTTCACAGCCAGTGCAGCACTTTCAGGATCAGTGGTATGTGGTCTGATTTATCCATCCTACTTAGCAACTGAGTTACTATATTCTAAATCAGAATGTGACAGTGTTCAAGGGTATCCCCAGATGGGGTACATTATGCTTATCCAGTCATGAGATTATTAGGGAATGGTTTACTGAGGCTAAACTAACCTAGTCCAGATGCACTAACAAACCTGGTCATAGGGATTCTTGTTACTAACCTGTACCACTAGTGACAGATTGGAATCAAGGAGACCCCCCAGTCTATGTACCCATTCCCATTGGTGGGAGTGCTGACTCATCTAGAACAGGCCACCCTTCTGACTCCCAGACCTGAAAATCACCCATCCACAACCCTTATATCTGCTTCAGCTTTGGCTTCAGCTTACTGGACCTTATCCAGTTCATCACTGCCTCTAGGCCAAGGGCCTGAACTTCAAATAATCACAAAAGCTGCATGTGTGGTCTACTTCATTAGCCCAAGAGCTGCAACACTGAAGTCTTTCATACCATGATGCAAAAATCTCTAGCAAATAGAAAATGAATAATATCATGGTATGCCATGAAACATAATTAAAAAAAAATACTGTGAAGTAATACTGCTTGTAAAACAGCCACTTCACTTTAGCCACTTAGCTGGCAGTGTTTTTTATTAAACAGAACACTAAGAGGTGGTTTGATTCTTGGGTTGATAACCTAATCTTTTTCAAGATATCTAGAATGATATAATCTAGAAAATTTAACCTACTGAAAACTGTTGCCCAAATCCTGTTTTCGTTTTTTCTGTCCTGTTCCCTTTCCATTCTCTTCTCTCCTCCTTGCCTGACACAGTCCTTCCTTCATTTCTTTCCCTAGAGAGAGACCTTGATTGTTCATTAACTTTCCCATTCCTTGCCCAGCAGAGAGACCCCCATAGCAGGGCTGCCAGACCCCCTCCCCCACCCAAAAAAAAAAATCTTGCTCTTTCCTCCTCATTTCCCTTGGGTAGCCACAGTCACCTAGTTTATCTTCCCAGGGCAAGCCTTACTCCCCTACCATCCCTACCCCAGAAAACCTGGTACCATCTCAGAAATAGCACCCTGTACTGAACACAACATTAGGGAGGAGTTTCCAGAGGGTGGTGCTATTCAGTCCAGGAATTCATGGGTCACTAAATGTATAGCCTAGCCAAACAGGCTCACTATTGCTGGAATATCCACTGGGTTGAGGTGACTTGCTGGGCTATTACTGCTACTACGCCACTCCTCCAGGAGCTATCCCTATGGTCCAGAGTGTGCATGTACATGGCCCTCGGCACCCCAGCCTTGCTAAGCAGCATTTTTGATTCCAACAAAGTATAGTTGTGGGCTACAGAAGACAGCTTGGAGGGCTGCACATGGTTCATGAGCCACAAGTTTGAGATTCCTTCTCTAAGCAACTTACTAGTATTTGCACTGTCTACCCTGATTAGGTGGGTAAAGAGATTGACTTCAGAATTATTAGCACATTCTCTAAATGTCTGTCTGAGTACCTCAGTACTTCCATACAGGTGTTGAACAATCAAAAAGAGAGAATAACTCTAACCCTAAACAGAAATCTCTGTCAGCTACTCTGGTGGTGGCCCTGCAAACAGGAATAGGTCCCCTGAAACAGTTGTGCTGAGCTGAGCTGTTCTAGTAATACCCTGTGATCATTGTTGTCAAAGGTTGCTGAGAGATCCAAAAGAAGCAACGTAGCAATGTTTTCTCTCACTAGTGAAGGTAATCGGAGAAATCCAGACCTGAAGTCAGACAAATGGATCTACATTTTCAACTTTTTCCAAGCACATTTGATGACCACCACCCTTTCTAGCACCTTGCTAAAGAAAAGTATATTTGCTGCTGAGTCATAATTATTCTAAATCTCAAGATCAAGTGAATTATTCCCTCACAAAAAGTCATTTCTGGGCCCACCTCTTTGAACTATCTCTGCAAGATCTTAACAGTCAAAATGGACAATAATAGAGCTCCCACAAGCTACATGTTCACTTTCTTAGCCAGCAATAATTGAAATTGACCTTGAAATGCCAGCTTCCATATAAACTCGACTGGTTCTATAGTGATTGTGGTATCTAATATGTAGTCAATATGAGGAATCTCTCTAAAAACGCTTCCATTTTTTTTTCACTTGTTTACTGAGTGGTCAATTGAGTCTGCTTCAGGATGATCTTTGAAACAGCTCACCTGCCACCCCAAAAACATTGCTGTGTGGTACATTGAAGATGCAGTGCTGATGGAAAAATAAATTGCACAATAAGCACATCCCTGCTCTCTTATCTAAAGTTTGTCATATTCATAGTGAGAATTAAGCCACATGTGCTCTAACTAGTTAGAGTTAAAATTTCTTCATTTCCCAGAGTTCCTTGGTGGCTCCATATTTAGAGACCATACACAGTGATAGTACCAAACACCCTTTTCATCTCCAGATGCTATAACAAGGCCAGGACTGCAACAGAATTACCAGGTATTCATTTCTGCAGGCAGACCATCTTAACTGAAGTCATCCACAACAATTTCAAATCAGTCGCTGTGAGTTGGGCAGTTTTATAAATGTAATAAACAAACAAACAAAATGCCATCTCAGATAAGTTTCTGGGGCAGCAAGATGGCCACTACCCTGTTCTGTCTCTGCATCTCAAACCAAGTAGAAACTTTGACAACCAGATCTTAGCAGATGGAATGTGTTGTCTCCTCTCCAGTGTGTGCTGATGCTAAGCTAAATACCTAACTGGGCAGAACTTGGTCAGATCTGGACCTCACACTTCCTCTAGCTAAGCCTTATTGATTCAGACCAGGTCAACCCATTAATCTGTGCAAAAGTCTAATAGACTACTTTTATTATAATAAAAGTCTTCAAGGACAACTAGCAGAGTGATGGCACATTCCAGTAAAGTGAGGGGGAAAGATTATATTAGACTGTGTCTAATGCAACACAATAGACTTACCAACTTTCTGTACTTCTGAGTAAGCTCCATAGTCAGGCACTTCCCTTTGGTCAAGAGGTGGGTAGCCTTGTTTGTACTGCACTCCATTTTCCTCGTCCTCTTCTAGATGATATTTTTTCAGTTCTTGAATGATCTCCATTATCAGATTTAGGAGGTTTTGCCTTTCCTTCAGCCCTGCACTAGATTCTGATTTCTCTTTACAATGCCCTGCTGAAAGCATCAAAACCACCAGCCCAATCAGTGCTGAAGACCTTAGAAGTTTGCACATTGTGGGGATAACCCAGGAAAAGAGAATACGTTCCCCACTTATTCCCTGAAAAAGGAAAAAAAAATTTTTTTTTAAATCAGAAAGAAGACATGAATTCTAATAGTAGAACTTTAACATATTTTTTCCTTATATGTATGGAACAAACTACTTAGAAGTCTACTTGCTGCTCTCTGTCCCATTTCAGCAAAATATCCTTTAGCTAAGGAAGACAATTGGACTTCTAGATTCTTTCATGTAATAGTCTGATCTTACTCTTCATACTCAAAAGTTCTGAGAAATTTAGTGAAATTGGTTTAGGACAGAAGATAACTACAAAATCAGCTGGGGCAAAGAATAAATCAAAAACAAAATCTGAGAAAACAAGTAGGAGAGAAGAGATTTCTGAAGAACTGGTTTTTAAAGTGAAGTAACTTTTCTGATCACAGCCTGAGAAACAGCACCTAATGAAAGGCACTGAGCTTTAGCAAAGATAAAATTGCTTTATTTGTTTGGCAGATCCTGAAACTTTGAATGAAAGTTATGTGTTAAGCACCCTGTCTCATTAAAACTAAGGGCATATAAGAAGCCTCAACAAGGGGTTAAAAAAAAAAATGGGAGGGAGGCAGAGAAATCAATAGCAGTGTCACCTGATTATTACTCCAATGTATCTACTGGGAAACTTTTCAGCCTATTATAATTCACAGCTTTGCTTATCTTGATCTTGTTGATTTAAAAAAAATGTTTACACAGCTTTCTGCTAGTTATTACAGAGGCAGTTATCAAATAATAGCTTAGCTAAGTATTTGGAAATCTACATGACAATCAGAACAGAATTATTACTCTTACTCTTGATTTGGTGACATTTTCACTATTTTCAGTCAATACATCAGGACCTATTTCTTTAATCTATGTAACGTCCTTCCATTAAAATCCTCAAAGCAGAATGTTTCTGAATGATTTGCACCAGCATTTCTGCCTCCAGTCATAGTAGATTCTATAAGGCTTCCAAGTGCTAACATAGATGAACAAATTACTAAATGATTACCCACATTTTAGCACGTGGAATGTGGCCTCTAGTAAGTCGGTTCAGAACACTCGCTCCAAAACCCTCGCTCCAAAACCCAAGGAAAACTTTCCCATTGTACAGTCCCAGGCCGAAAGTAAGGTCTGGCCTGATCCAGGCGCAAAACCTAATCCTAAAACACCCCACTTATCTATCCACTCAGGTATCAACAGCATATCAATTTGGCCAACCTTACTCAGAAGTTGCTCCTCCACATTGCTTGGGATGCTCAGTGCAGTTTTATTGCATTTGGGTCCCCAGAGCTAAAGAACTGCAGAAAAGAAAGTACCCAATCCAGCCATCATGGAGCACCTTTAATTTCCATGGGTTTGGGGTGGGATCGATGTCAGATTTCATTGAGAGATACCAACGGGATTTAGGATGACTTAATTTGGGCTAGATTTCCCACTCTTTTCTCTCCCCGGAGCAACCCGTTCAGGGAGCACTTCTATCTCTGGCCTTTATCGCGCAGCGCAGAATGATCTACAGCGAAGCGCCATCCTCGATTTGTAATGCCCCCGGTGCCTCCTAGAAGCGCCTCGTGTCTCCGGGCTGACATCAGCTCAGGAGCAGAACAGATCGAAGGGAAGGAAGACCTCGCAGGACGTCTAGCAAGAAGGAAGCCTTCGTGCAGCAGCCTCCAGACACTCGCGTGCGCACGCACGCACGCACCGCTGGGAAGGGTGGCTAGAGAACTGTCGCGGAGTCCGCTAAACTTGGCAGGAAGCGGGCGCGCTGGTGCCGCTACCGCTGCAGCTGCCACTCCTAGCTAGCAGTCCGGAGGCGCTAGCGCTGGCCGCTCGCTCTTGCCGATTTAGGGGCGTACCTGTCTCCGGTGGCCTCTGTCCTTTAGACGGCTCGGATATCTCCTTGCTGAGGAGATGAGCTGCCCGCAGCGGAGTTGCCTTTCACCGCGGCTCTTGGCTTTCCCTCTTCTCCCCGGCGCGCACGCCTTCCAGTCTCCTTCACCTATTCCATGGCCCCGCTTTAAATAGATTCACAAGGAGTTCACGAGGTGGCCGCCGCCGCCGCCGCCGCCGCGG